AGCCTCTCCTTGCGGAGGGGTTGCGCGCGGCTATGGAAGAAGGCAAGGCAGCGAGCGGGATGGATCCCGCTCGCTGTTTTGCCTTCCCCTTTAGCCCCGCGCAGCCTCTCCTTGCGGAGGGGTTGCGCGCGGCTATGGAAGAAGGCAAGGCAGCGAGCGGGATGGATCCCGCTCGCTGTTTTGCCTTCCCCTTTAGCCCCGCGCAGCCTCTCCTTGCGGAGGGGTTGCGCGCGGCTATGGAAGAAGGCAAGGCAGCGAGCGGGATGGATCCCGCTCGCTGTTTTGCCTTCCCCTTTAGCCCCGCGCAGCCTCTCCTTGCGGAGGGGTTGCGCGCGGCTATGGAAGAAGGCAAGGCAGCGAGCGGGATGGATCCCGCTCGCTGTTTTGCCTTCCCCTTTAGCCCCGCGCAGCCTCTCCTTGCCGGGAGATGCTGCGCAGGGCTTTCCTGGCTTTTCTGGGAGGTGGGGGAATTCCCCCACCTCCCGCAAAACCGGCAGAAGCCGCGCGCACTTTAAAAGGGCTGCACGGCTTCTTCTGGCTTTCCTGGGAGGTGGGGGGATTCCCTCACCTCTCGCAAAAGCCCGCAGAAGCCATGAGCTCTTTAAAGGGGCTGCGCGGCTTCTCCTGGCTTTTCTGGGAGGTGGGGGAATTCCCCCACCTCCCGCAAAACCGGCAGAAGCCGCGTGCACTTTAAAAGGGCTGCACGGCTTCTCCTGGCTTTCCTGGGAGGTGGGAGAAGGGACTGATGCGGCCAGTCAGTCCCTTCTCCCTCCTGTGGAAAAGCCCGCAAGAGCGCACGGAGCTTGTGTGCGGCTCTTGGGGGCTTTTCCCGCCTGCCTCCCCCCTGCATTCGCTCCATAGGACGCACACACATTTTCCCTTGCTTTTTAGGAGGGAAAAAGTGCGTCCTATGGTGCGAAAAATACGGTAAGTGACTTTTCTTCTTTAAGTTCTCAAAGTACTTAACCTAGCTGAAGGTTGTCATCTGCGCTAGCCAGATATTTAACTGATAATCAATCACAGTCAGTCCATCATTCGAAAAATAAGACTTTAAAGCCATCTTGCCCCAAAATGGCAACTAGACATTCCATTTTGGTGACTGTAGCCTAGGTTTAAGAAGCCATTTGGTCCCCATCTTATATATCTGAGTTCCTAATACTATTCAAGGATGCTGTCTTACTGCCACATCAAATGTTGTCTGATCACCAGCTCTTTGCTCTGCAAAGTTCATCTGAAAATGTTAATACATGAAATATACTCGGAGTCGAGTGTGAATTTCATGCTCTTTATTCAGCTCATAGTAGCAATGAATGAATCTTTCCCCAAAACATCTAGCTATATATACATTATTTATACAATGGGCCCCACGTGATTGGCTAATTCCGGGCTGCTCCTGCAGGCCAATCAGGTTGCTGATTCACTTCATCCAGGAGCCTGATTGGCTGCTCCTGTGGACGAATCCGACTTCTGCATTCTGGATCCTATTGTTCTAGGATTCAGCTCAGTACATAACATACAGGTTATCTTTGTTTCAAACAGCAGCCATTAGAAACTTGTTTTGAGTAGCAAAGGAATCTCTCTGGTTCTTTCCTAGCTGAATTGGTTTCCACACAGTTTAGGGAAATGATGATTACAAAGGATTAAATATCTTCTAATCTCATGCATTGTGTTGCACTCTTGAGCAGCAGAAACAGGCTCAACGGCAACAAATAGTAGCAGCGGGAGGGGAGCCACCCTTCTGCCATTAGCATCCTTGCTGCTAACCTAGATGAGCAGTCAAGTCGTTCTCCCCCACCCTCAGTTCCCATCTATAAAATGGGAGGTCTCAGTTGCCTCCCTCATAGCTTTATTATGAGGATGACATAATTATGGCAAAGTAATTCAGATACAAATGAGTGACATGGAAATGTGATAAACAGTAAAAATAATAATAATAATGAAGAAATGGCCCACGAGTATAGTTTTGCCAAGGGCCTACACTTTCCCTCGAGAAGCGTTATATTTAGTGATTTGGTAGCAAATGAATTGCCTGTGTGAAATCTTCCAAGGTTAATCATATTCAGCAGCATTTGTTTAAATATATTTGTTTTAATTAAGAGAAAGGATTTGCACGCTGGGGGTGTGTTCACATTTCAAGATCCCTGAACTCTGTTGCAGTAGGAATAATTACAGCCCGGGAGTTTTATGTGTCTCTGCAGTGTCCTTTTGAGATATTTAGATGGCTTCTGTTGAGATGAAAGACCGTATGGATTTCTTTTCCTCTATTAATCTGGCACAGAATACCAGACCTCCTGGGTCAGTTTGCTTACCAGCAGTGTTTGTCCCTGCAGTTTAATCTGCAGATGTTGGCTTGGCACATATGACATTGCAGAGGAGAAGATGCTTCAGCCTGTCTGGTTGTGGGGATGCACATCAAGCATATTAACATCTTCCAAAGGCCACCTTGTGGTTCATTGTCAACAATGTATTTCTTCTCGCCTTTTGTGATTTCTCATAATAAATTAGTTGTGCTTCCAAAAAAACAGTGCCAAGGGAACAAAGCAATCAGTGACACCATCTGCTGCCAGCAGGTTTGTGTGTTGAAGGAGCTGCATATCTCCATCACTCAGGAATGTCAACAGACCCTGATGCTGGCAGCAGTCCCTTGCTTCAAAGCCACAGGCCTGGGCTTGTGTGAGTAGATCAGCGGGGAAATGGCTTTGTCAGACTAAGGTGAATAAATAGGTTTGGCAGTGGCAGGCTGGAAGCAGACATAACGGGCCCCTTGGGTGCAATGTTACTATCATAAGTTAGATGCTTAAGGCTGAAGCAGATCAAACAAAATGTGAAAAATTACTGGCCGCATACTTTATGAAGGCCATTAGACTTTAATGCTGTACTATCTAAATTCTTTTGATCTTCCCTAAGAAGAAACTTTTGATCCTGAACATGGGAGTCCATTCAAAGGCAAGCGTGTGAGTGTACAATCTGAGAGCTATACAACCGTTTTTCAATAAATGCTAAGCCAACTCTATCCTTAACTCTGAAATTTAAGGTACAGCCTGCAGTGTATCTTAACACAAGCTCAAGAGGGAGAATACCAATACTTGCAATTTTATTTTATTTTTGTATTTCCTTGTGTGCTGAAATTTCCCATTGTCTAACTTAGCAGACAATTTATATCACCATGCACATAATGTCTGGAGATACCTTCACAACTGAGTTTATATTCCGCTATTGGATGTCTGCTCAAAGCGGGCTTCTTTAAAATGATGTAAGTTGGATATGGCTCATATTGCTGTCCAGTTTCAAAATCAGTGCCGGCACAAAGTTAAGCATTATGCACTATCTGTTTCTGTACAAAGACTCTGAAGCACCTGGAGCAGTCTGCACTAGAGGTGTTGTTTGATAATCCCTGGAATACAAAAAATAAAAATGAAATGAAAGGATGTAATTCAGCAAACATCACTCATAGACATTGAAGTTTAGATTGTAATTTTTCTTCAGATGCCCTAAGTACTCAGCTGCCTGGCTTATGCCACCTTTGCTCTTCTGTGATGTTGAAATAATTAAGCCAATAGCAGCTAGAGGGTCTGTGACACTTCTTTCTGCAGAATGTCACTGTGACACCAGAGCAGTTCAGCCAATGGCATCAAGAGGGAGCAGATACTGAGACCACGTAGAAAATGCTGTGAGAACAAGGAAGTGAATCTACAGGAGAATGAAACTTGCAGACCATCATACTCATGGACCGCTAGCTAAATTGTTCTGTATTAGTACAGAGTCATTATTGGTGTCACTGAAGTAAATACCTGCTATTGTCAACTCATAATTCATATGTTGTATGCAAGGGAAAACAAATATACTTTGTTCTTATGGAATGCCTGTCTGAGTAGATTATGTTTATGTTTGATGAGGCTTTACAGCATTTATTTTTGGGATGCCACAGCAAGGAAACTGCATGTTTTATGAATCAGAAAATTAATGCTCCCATCACACACCCTTTTTCACCTGCATGCCCGCCTCTCTGTTGACATACTATTCCTTTACAGCTTGTCAGTTGACTTTGGTATAACAAAATTAATATTTTACCAAGTGGGCCAGTGATCATTCTTCATCCTACGTACCATATTTGTGCCGCTCTCTGTTTTTCTAGTGGTTTTACTGTTCATGCCTCCAGTGGTGGGCTTTGGCAAGGCATGGCAACAACTCTTTCAGTCCCAAAGCTGCATTCATGTTGAGTGTTTGCATCAGGATAGAGAGACTTAATCTCTGTCTTCAGCTATTGTTAAGCTCATGTTCACCAGATCATTCACTCAGGCATGTCTGTGCAACAAATATAAACTACTTTAAAATCCTAGGAACTGTAATTCTTTGCAAGAGCTGAGAGACTTTTATCATAAAATCTCAGCACCCAGTTCCAAAGTATAAGAACACTTCAGGAATTAGGTATTTTGTGTGAGTGTGTGAATGCTGTTATGATCTCCCCTGATCCAGTCTCGCAGGATAATGTTTCACTTGGAATGCACTTTCTGCCCTAGGGCTGGGTGATATGTTGTCCAAAACCATTTTGAAGTGCATATTGTGATATCAGTTTCATAATTTTTGACCTGGCAATATATTGTGAATCATGAGGTGTGTGAGCTATGCATAAATCACAATGTGGGGAAAACTGTGAAGTCAGCCACGGTGGCTGAGACCATGAAAGTTAAACCAATAATAAACTGGTTTACATTTTTAAAATTTATATTTGTATCCTGCCTTATCCTTGTAATCAGTGAGTCTTAGAGCTATTTCATCAAAGAGGTCCATTGCATGTTTGGCCTGAAAGATCCAATGAGAGACAGACATCAAAGGTGGTGTGTACTGTTAGTTCTCCTCAGAGTAAACCTATTGAAAATAATGGGCAAGACTACCTTAACATCCATTATTTTTACAGCTCTACTTTGAGAAGCACTTAGTGGAAAATAATTGTGTTGGATTGAATCCAACGGTCTAACATTCCCTATTTCTTCTTTCAGCCAAGAAGACCTGTGCAGAAAGTGATTTCACTTGCAACAACGGCCACTGCATTCCTTCCAGGTGGAAATGTGATGGTGAAGAGGAATGCCCAGATGGGTCTGATGAATCCGAAGCCTCATGTAGTGAGTACTCCTGCTAACTGGTTATGGAACATAGCTTTATAGTTGTTTGGAAAGTGGACTGATAAACAAATAGAAATTATATATCATGTGCACATGCATATGAGCTCCCCCTCTCCATACTGCTGTCCTGAAAGCAATCAGTGATGTGGTTTTATTATTATGTCTGGCTGAGGACAACAAATGATATGTTGTGCACAAGTTAAATCTTGCCTCTTACTCAGGACCTCTAGAAACTTGCAAGGCTAACCCTAAGCCTGGGGTGGGGAATCTTTGGCTTGTGGGCCTGATTAAGCCTGCCAAGCCTCTCCAGTTGTCCCAACACGTCACTTTGGCCAAGTCGTGTCCACTTGCCAGGCGGCCAGGCCAAAATGCGGGGCTTTTCAGTTGGATGAATTTTATGTGATTAGCCAGTTCCTTATGACATTTTCCACTTTTATATTTTAATTATGTTTATTGTGATTTTATATTTGTTGTGCACCACTTTATGTTTTCTATAGAGTTTAGCAGTATATAAATATATATTTTATTAAATAAATAAAAGCTTTCTTCTGTAGAGAATTTCATTTGAAAAATGTGATTATGGGATTCAAAATAAGGAAGATTTTATGCTCAGACATTGCTTTGTGTATGCACTCAGCTAAAAAACACACACCCACCATTCATTGCTGACAGTTCTTTTTTTCAGAAGATTGATTGTAATTTAAATCTCCTTGGGCTTATGTTGTTTCCCAAAAAGCTGTGCAAGTGGAAGACTACTGATGCAAATGTTTTCCACTTGTCATGGTTAGATTGGAATTATTGGAATTTCACCAGTTCCTCTCTTTTATATAATTGTCATGCCCTTAAATAGTAGTACTATTGTCTAATTCCGTCATGAGCCACTATGTTCAGTAGGGGTTTTTCTTTAGATCTCATTAGCTTTGAGTGGCACCCTGAGAGGAAGTCAACCTCAAAAATCTTTTTCAGGTTACATGTTGTCCTTTTGAAACTGTACCATATTGCATCTCTCTCCTGTTGCATTATAATAGCTCTCCAAGACAGCATGGCATTTCACGAGCTGTGCTTGTATTGGGCAGCACAAAGCAAGCAAGCTGGAGACTTCGAGTTAAGTAAAGAATGCTTGCAGGCAATAACTGACATGGAAGCCAAATGTGACAAATTTCCCCAGCAGGATAGACTCAATTGCAAATGTGACATTATTGTAAGTGTCAGGAAACACTCAGCTTTGCTTCAGTACCTTTTACCATATTGTTATTCTCATCCTGTGGGACAGATCATCTATTTCCCATTGATTTTAGAGAGTTATTAAACATTTACTGATACTGACTAGATGGAGATTTAATCCAAATAAAAATTGAATTTAAATATTAGGTAACACACGAGTGTGAAAGTGTGTGTTTGAATATGATTGACATACTTTTTGTTTGGGAAAACAAACCTATGAATGGATACTGAGCTATGTGGACATAATGGACTAGTTACTTGGGTTTCAAGGTTTGCTTCAGGTCACACATGTTTAAAGTATGGAAAAGAATAGGGAGAACGTAAAGGTAAGGGACCCTTGGTTAAGTCCAGTCAGAGGCAACTATGGGGTGTGGCACTCATCTTCTTTCTGGCTGAGGGAGCCAGTGTTTGTCCACAGACAGCTTTCCGGATCATGTGGCCAGCATGACTAAACCACTTCTGGCACAACAGAACACCGTGACGGAAGCCAGAGTGCACGGAAATGCCGTTTACCTTTCCATCGTAGGGGTACCTATTTCTACTTGCACTGGTGAGCTTTAGAACTGCTATATTGGCAGAAGCTGGGACAGAGCAACGGGAGTTCACCCCATTGTGTGGATTCGAATCAATGACCTTCCAATCAGCAAGCTCAAGAGGCTCAGTGGTTTAGACTACAGCGCCACCCACTGGGTTGGGCAAAACACATTCCACAATTGGTCAAAGGTTTCTCATTTTGTAAACAGCATAAAGATCTTACATTTTTAGTAGTATATGATGTTATTAATAACAGCTGCCTTGAAATGAACATGTGCAAATTTTAATCGTGCCAGATGGAAGCATCAGGTAGAGAATGCTGGTGCTGTGTGTGTGTGTGTGTGTGTGTGTGTGTGTGTGTGTGTGGTGTGCATTTCCCTAATTAGGCAGCAATGCAGAATTGTCTTAAGAAATAGGAGGCAGAGAGAGGGAAAGATGGCTGAAGATACTGAAGATGGCTCCTGCCATGGGCTTGTCACAAGAACAGGTGTGGAAGGGAAGGTGTAGGTAGCAGAAAAGGAAGCATTCTGCATGATTCATTACTGGATGCCCAGACCAGCAAAACAGCTGGTTGGAAAGAGCAGGAAATGGTTAAGTGGGCAGTGCATGTGTCCAGCTAGAGTGCAGCTGTGGACATGACTATGGGTTTGCTGCATAGAATCTGAAGAGAAAGAGGCAACACAGGCCCCAGAACATTATTTTTTTTAAGGTGCTAATATATTCCTCTCATTAACTGATAGCTAATCTCTTCAAGCTACCACAACCCTGTTGGGTCTTCTGGGACATTCTCCTGTTAGAAGAAACTGAATAGGCTCCAATAAGGATATGCAATTGCCCAGTGATGACTTATTATATTTAATTTATGAGCCAATTTTATGTTAAACATATCCAAGGTAGCAAAACAGGTGCCCTGCTCCTCTGTCCCACTCCCTCCAACTCTGTTCATTCCCCCCTGAACGCCACTATGTGTTGCAACCTGTCTAAGTCCATTGAAGACTGTGCATTGAATTTTCAATTATATGCCATTTAAGTGTATTTCCCCAGGATGGATGCTCTAGCAAAAGGGAAGATGGTTTGTTTGACTTTGTCAGTGTGCAGTGCAAAGAGGAACGTACAATTATCCACCCTCTTTCCTCTTTATTTCGTTAGCCAACTCTGCATTGCTGCCTAATTAGGAAAGATACACGCTGCTTCCTAACAAAGCCCTCTTCTAAGCAGCCACACATAGTATCAACGTAATCATCTCAGCTGTGACATTAACATATTTATAATGCACTAGGGTTTGGTCTCTGCCTGCCTCTCAGCCAGAGTCTTCTTATTAATGCAATGCCACTCTCCCATTGGATGGGCTTAAATTAACTTAGCAGTTTCCTTCCCCAGAATTCCCTGCCTGCAAATCTCTCTAGCCTGAAGCAGCTATGTTTAGACTGCACAGTTCACTGTGAGGTCCATGAGGATTTCATTTGACCTCCGTCAGCCAGCGATGCAACTCTTCCTGTAAAGAAGATCAGCCTGTGCTATAGAAAGGCTGAGCCTTCAGTTACCTGAGCATTGGCTTCAGTTACACTTGCATGCCTCTGGCTTAGTAGTCTTGCAAGAGGCTTCCATTTCACCTTGGAGCTTACAGTGCATTGTGACTCATATTATGTTCAAGTCAGAAACAGGAAAGCTGCATCGAATGGAAAAACTTGGATATGGCTTCCAACTCCAACTTAGCCATGGGCTTCTTGGTTGCCTCCTTGAGCAAGCCATTTCCTCCTGGCTTTAATGTGAATTTTCCAGTTGCTTCATAAAGTCGCCAGTGTTTCACAGCCATCCCAGCACAACAGCTCTATGGCTATCACCTTCAGTTAATTACAGTTTGTCTACAGAGCTAACCATTGGCAATGATGGAGTTGGCAGCAGGTTGAGGAAGGCTTCTGTAGGCAGCTTTGTGGAAGGATTTGCCACTTCATAAATAGAAACACAACTGCATTATCAGATGCGGGTAACTTTCCCACAGAGATCCACCACATGCATCTACACCAAATCATGTGACTGCACCGTGCTTATCAGAAGGCCAGCTGTTTTTGTAACTGGTGTGATCCAGTGTGAAAATGATCAGTTCTGAACTTGAGAATCCCTCAACTTTGGCCACTGAGTCTCCTAGGGGAACCACTGTCTTTTGACCTGAGTTTTCTGTCTATAAACTGCAAATAGTAGTTGGATAAAGAAATATTGTGATCCACCAGGAGTCTTTGAGGACCGTGTAGCCTTTAAATCTATAAACCTACAACAAGTTGACTGAAGAATTGGGAGTCTTACTCTGGACAACTGAAACTAATCTGCCTCTGGTTTTTGAGGCAGTATATTTTCACATGTTTATTCATATGCACGAGGGCTAGAGATTTTACTTTACTAAAAATGACAAGTCTTCTAAATGAGTTCCATCTTACTTTAAAGAGGTAAAGATTCAAATATTGAATTGTGTTTATTTAGCCCAGAGATCTTTGTGTGTGGTCAAAAATAAAATAAAAGCTCTAGGAAATATAATATTGGCTAACGAATTGTGATAGTGCTAGTGAAAGCTCAAAGGGGTAGGACAAAAAGTGAGTACAAAAGGTGAGTCCAAAGGTCTTATGTGTGCATGTGTATATAATGAAATCCAAGGATGTGAGCTGCATACTTTCCCCATCCACTTTCCCTCTTATTACCTACACACAATGCTCTAACAGAAAACAGTAGAAATTGCTTTATGCAAATGTAATCTAAAGACCCACAGCATAAATAGAAAGAATAGGGGGGGAATCACTATAGCCTTTTATGAATCCATATTAATTTCACTAGAGGATATAGCAGGCAACCATTGATGAATGAGTCATCTGTCCACAGCAATCGGTTCAGTTAAGCTGCACATTTATATGAACTAATGTATTTATGTATTTAAAGCATTTATAACTCGCCCTTCCTATATACCAGCCTGACCCAAATCTGGTGCCCTTCAGATGGTTTGGACCACAATTCCCATCAACTCCAGGCAGTACAGCTGTGCTAGCTGAGGCTGATTGGAAGTGCACTCTGGGTTGGGGAAGGCAGATATCATATAGAGACCAGGGTAGGGTATAGAACAAATAATAAAATAAACAACAATTAATGTTAAAATGCACAGTCAAGCATATAGGACAGTGAAAAACAACCGAGCAGGTTAAACAGTCAGCAACTTATGAAACTAAGTTTCTGCTCGTCAGACTCTTGATTCACAT